CCAACAGTGCCTGTTCCAGCAGGAGCCCATGGGGTCACTCGGGGGCTGCTCCTGCCCCTCTCACCACATCCCTGCTCCAGGCTGGCACGGGCAGGAAGGAAAGCATCCCTTCTCTCAGCAGAGCTGCCTCACCTTACCCAGGGCCTGAACCAAACCTCGGAGCAGCGATTGAGGTTTGTCCATCAGTATTTAATATCAGCGTCCCTGACCTGCCGCCCCTCCCCGGGGAGGCTCGGAGGGCTGAGTTTGTATGCGGCGCACGCAGACAGACAGCAGCCGGGAAGCGCCCGTCAATCACGGCCCCTTTCAGCCTGTCACCTCAAAATAAAGGCAGAAAGAGGGGGTGGGAAACTGGGGCTGCCTGCACCGCTCCCTCTCCATCGGTGCGTCGGGAAGGGACCTGGGATGTGACACCCCAGAGGTGGCTTTGGCCATGTGTCGACATTTCTAGGTTTCGGTGATGCTGTGTGGATGGGAAACACCAAAGGAGAGGTCTGGGATGCTTTCTTGAGAAAGAGGAATGGTGTGGAGAAGTGGGACTGCATCTTGGGGAAGGGGGATATCCGTAATGCCACCAGAAATGTTGCACTTTTGGAGATGCCCAAAGATCTCATTTCAAGATTTTCTTGAAACCCACCAGCAGCATCTTTCTGTTTCACAACTGCAGATTGTCATTCGATTACTTAAAAAAGAAAGAATTTAGTGCAGATTAGTCAATACGGGAATGGTATTGATGGGTCTGATTGTGTCTGATTTTTAAGATCAGACACAAAGGGCTGCATATTGTGATAAAAATAGCTCACATAATCGTTTTTTTGTTCCAATTCCTCGTAAGTCAAGTGGGTTTGTTTTCATTTACAAATATTTGTTGTCAGCACTTCAATGAGGTGTTTACTGAGCCACTGGTGGCAGGCTGAGATTCCTCTGAGCATCCCAGTGCTGAGCAGGTCACCCTGCCCTGTGCCTGCCAGCTTAATACCTGGCTAAACAAACCTACTGCTGCCAGCCAGGCCTGATTTGGCTCTGAACCCCAGGCTGCGGGAGGCAAAAAACCCTCTACTGAGGACTAAAGCTGGCAGCATCCCTAGGATGGCAGAAGTGAAGGCACTCCCGTTGCAATTTAGGGAGTGGTAATTTGCCCTTGATTTAAACCTGTTGAAGTCCCTGGGCAGAGCCCATCCTTCTCATCTGTGCAGCCTCCTGTAGAAAAATGTAATCTCAAAGCCTCCTTTGCTGCTGTAGGGAAGCACAGAGAGGTAGAGATGAGAGAAAAGAGGGCATTTGCTCTGCAGCCTGCTGGACACAGAGCTGAAGATCCCAGAGGCACAGGAAAATGTCTCTGGATCCGGGCTAGTGTGTCTTGCTCAAGCTAAAAGTATTAAATTGTTAGATCTGGTACTGGAGGAAAATTTTTCTTTAGCCCCCATCTCAGGTTGACATGGGGTGTTTCAGCTGGGTTAGCTATGCAGGGGTTATCCATGCTGGAGTTAATCCTGTGTTGGGTTATTCCTGAATGGGAGTATCCATGCATAGGGTTATCCATTTGTGGGGTTATCCGTGCATGGGGTTATCTGTTCAAGAGGTTATCCATTCATGCTGTTCCTGCTTAGTCCCTGTAGAGTAGCTGGTACTGTCCAGGGCTGGTCCAGGTCTGCAGAGACCTGGGACACCAGCAAGACTCTTTACACTCTCTCCATTACTACTCATAGTCAGCTGTCCATGACTTTTTAGTGCTTAAGGTCTCAGTTTATTGTGTGTTTATAAGGAGCTCTTTATGGTTTCATACTGTGGAAGAGGTTTGATAAGGATTTTTCTGCATCTCATGTTGCCCAGGGATGGGGGTGTTGTGCATTGGGCACTAAAATATACCTGATCCAACTGTCATCCCTCAGCAGGAGCTGTTGGGGACTCAGCAGTTTGGAAATAAAGTCATTTATTCAGTGACCTAAGAATGGCTTTATGTGTCTAATATTAGTCAGCCACTTACCTAAAACTCACACCTTCCTGCTTTGCCACGTGCTTTGGGTTTGGAAACATCCATCAAGTTGGTGCTGCTGTGCCTGATTGGCAAAGGTTTGTGGCTCTCTAATAATAAGTGCCCTGGAAACAAATTTTTGGGCACATTTATTTATGAAGATTAGATAGCAGTAATGTAATAGTTTATCAATATTTTATTGCTGAGAGCAGTTACTAATCCCAACAGGTAGGGCTTAAATGTCATTTAAACAGGATGAGAATGTGTTGCCAGACGAATACAAATTGCCTCCACTTTGACATAAAAGAGACATAATTAAAGATGAAGTGACTACAGAAATATTAACACAAGCCTGTGTTTCTTGGAGCTGGAACAAGAAAAAAATGACCCTTCAGAAGAGATGCTTTCAAGGGAATATACATCCCTCTCCTCCCAGGGCAGTCATAGGGATGTTGGAAACACATACATCTTAGAGAAAGGCAGTTGTATGTAAACCTGGGAAATTAAAGCTGAGTGTAGAAAAATAAAAGCTGCTAATGAAAATATCTGGAATTATAAGCTCCCTAACCTCCCTTCCACTTTCTGTGGTGACAATAGTGTTTCATAAAACTGTTGTAACACCCTGTCACTCCTTCCTTGGGAGGTGACAATTTTCTGAGTGTGACCAGGATTTGGCTGGCAAGGGGAGGGTGATGCACCACATCCCTGTGCTTGCCAACACTGTTTGGGTAAAACCTGGGATGGAGCAGGCATAGCCCATGTGCCAGCACAAAGTGTCAAGGAGAGAACCCCAAGGTGGGAAGGAGACAATGCCAGTAAAATGGGGCACATTAGGAGGCCACAACTCTTTGAGGTGTTGACACCCAGCGCCAAAGGTTAGTGGGCACCACTGGTGGGTGACAGTGTGTCGTGGGCACACTGTCAGCTATGTGCACATCTGGTGGGCAGCTGTTTGCCTCTGGAGCTTGGTGCTCTCCAGCTGCAGTGCAGGGCATCGGGAGGTGATGCTGTGTGGCTGACCCTGCCCATCAGCACAGGAAGACAGGCATTATCCTCTGCTCCTGCCTCTCTCTGCCTTTCTGGCACCGGTGAGGTATGTTGCCTTGCTCAGGCTCCACACAAGCAAGCCCTGATCGCTGATGAGATGGGCACAGATGTGAGCAGCTGCTGCCAGCTCTGCTGGGCTCACTGCCTGTGTGCTGGAGCCTCCCTGTCCCCCTGCGGCAGTTTGCACAGCTGACCGTTGTGTTTATCTGCTGTTGGGCAAAGAAAGCAGTGAAAAGAAAACTGGGATGTTACGGGAGAAGAAGCTTCCCCTGTGCTGCTGGGAGGTTTTGTCCAGCAGCATCTCTGGTGTTATGGGTGCTTTTGCTGTGTGACCTGCCTCTGGGGCACAAAGACATGTGGTGCCTTGCTCTGCCCCCGTGTTTTATGGGTTATCGAGCTCATCACAAGAATTTCTTTCAATGATCCTAATTTTCTGATGGTTTAGCTGCAAGGGTTTTGCATACATCTGGTCCTCTCCTTGTAGGAATGGGGTTGATTCAGCACATTTCCTGTGTGTTTTTTTGTAACAGCCAAAAAAAGAGAAAACCTAGAAAGCCTGCTGGTGGCTGCAGGGCTGCCCATCTCCTCCCCAGCCAGCTCTGGCCCCACAGCCCCCTGGCTCCACATCTGCCTCAGGGATGAGACGTGGGATAGGGACCGTGGTGGTGGGAGCTATCTGGAGTCAGTGGAAGACTGGATGTCGTGCTCCCTCTGTGGGTCCCTGGGGCATCCCCAGGCTGGGACACGGGCAGTGCTCGGAGAGAACCTCTGCAGGATGTGTGCTGACTTTTGACTTCTCTTTCTGGGCCAAAGTCATCAAGACAGGGGAATAATAATGTCCAGTTCCCACAGATATTTCGGACAAGGCTGGGTAAACAGTGATTTTTTTCTTTATGGGGTCCAAGTCAAAAACACAGATATCTGGGGGTGGCAAAGAGGTTCTAGTTTGGTACCTTCAGACATCTCTATTAGGAGAAAACATCCTGTTCACTTAAAATATCCTGCACTGGGTTAATTCAAGGTGCCTCCAAATCCTCTCAAGCCAACAGTGATGCTGCCACCCCTGCTCTGCTTGCCTCAGTCTCCCCAACTGTAAATCATTGATCATTCTCAGCAAGGACATTTAAGGCTGAAGAAAGAAAAGCTCTGTTTCAGCCTAAAGTGTTATTGCTGTCATTACTATTATTGCTTTTAAGTATAAAGCCAGTGTGTTGAAACCTGGGAACGGTTCAATTAGGGATGCCTCAAACGCTTTCACATCAATGTCATGAAACAAGCTGAGCTTTTTCTTTTCCTTTTGACACATCAAGTCTTCAATCTGTCACCAGCCTTCACCCCAGACTTGCTGCCATGGAGATTTTTATGATCTATTAGACATTCCTGATGTGTTTGCAAGTGGGAACAGGGCTGTTCCAGTGACCCAGGCCAGAGGGATGGGGTGTTTTGTGGGTGACTGACAGTGTGGATGCTTTCTGCAGGTGCTTGTGGAGAGGCCCCATTGCCATCTCCAGCATCTCCTTAGATCTTGGCAAAAGCTGGAGGCAGGTGGACATGTAGAACTGACTTGATAACACTCACGTAGACGTGGTGTGTCCTGCATCTTGTGGTGGTAGCTGGGCTGTTGGGTTTAACACCTGCGTGCTTGTCATCTGGAGTATCTGGTTGTTGAGGGTCTTCATCATTTGACCACATTCATGATAAACACCTGGAAACAGATCCACCAAAACTGGCTGAAGTTGACCCAAGGGCACCATCGCCCATTGGCACAGGGTGAGTGTGCAGCACTTACAGCATGTGCCATGTCACTGCATGCTGCCAGCACCACTGTGCCCAACTCCTCAGTGCAATCCAAACATGAAGGGCACAACACAGTTACCCTGTGCTGCCCACCACGGGTGCCTCATCCCTTGTTGTCCATGCCGTGTGACCTGCCAGGTGCAGCCAGGTGTCACAGCAGGGTCTGCTCTTGCTCCCCCAGGCTCTTCGCAGTGAAGTGCGCCGGGTGCCTGGAGGCCATCGCGCCCAGCGAGCTGGTGATGCGTGCCCAGAAGAGTGTCTACCACCTGCGCTGCTTCTGCTGCTGTGTCTGCGAGCGGCGCCTGCAGAAGGGCGACGAGTTTGTGCTGAAGGAGGGGCAGCTCCTCTGTAAGGGCGACTACGAGAAGGAGCGGGAGCTGCTGAGCTTGGTGAGCCCGGCTCTGTCGGATTCTGGTAAGGGGCCGCCCGCGCCCGGCGTCTCCCTGGCTGGTCCCGTTCTGAGGCCCCTGCAAGCGTGGTGGGGTCTGGAGGTGAGGTTTGGGCTCTCTGCCCTGAACTTCTGCACTTTGGTCTAAAGGGAAAAGCTCTACGAGCACTGTTTGGTCCTCCAGCCAGAGTGTCTCCTATCTTGGTGGCAAGAGCTTGAGCGGGCACCTCGGCAGTGGAGGGGCTGCAGGGCTGGAGAGTGTTCTGTGGACCATCCCATCTCATTAGCCTCATTTCCATAAGGGTTTGTGCTCCTGGCCTGTGTATCCCATCCCAAGGAATGTACAGCCTCCCTGGGTGTGGGAGGGAGAGTCATGCTGGCCAAAATGACATCTCCCACCTCCTCACCTGAGGAAATGGAACAGCTGCTCGTGGTATAAATACACTCTGAGATTTCTATTGCCAAAAAAATCACAGTCCCAAGCATCCCACTGACCACCTTGGCGTAAGCCTGTGTCACTTCCCTGTGCTTCACTGTCTCTGCCTGGGACTTTGGAAAGGCTGAGTGAAAGAAGTGAGCTGCTTCTGCTGTAGTCACCCTTTTTAAAAACAAGGGGAAACTGAAGCACAGAGCTAAAATGTGAGCTGGCAGCAGGGAGCCTGCAAATCTTGGGTCTCCAGCAGCTTCCCAGGAGCCAGCCTGCTGACTCAGCATGGGACACTGCAGAGCCAAGGAGGGCTGCAGGAGAGGTGGCACCATGGCTGGAGATGGGCAGGGGCTGGCATCCTGCTCCAGCCAGGGTGTCACATCTGGGTTAGGCTGCCCAGAGCATCAGATCAGCATTAAAATATGTATCCATGGTCAATGCAAATCAAAACCGAATGTTTCCTACGAAGACACATTTAGTAAGAAAGCCTAGCACTGGGGAACAGGGGTGTGGAAATGATCTGCTAGCAGAAAGCCTTGTGTTAACACCATCCCCACAGAGCACTGCTCCTTGCCAGGCTGGCAAGCCCCATGCCTGGGTCTCTCAGCTCCTCTTAAAATTGCTCATCAGGGAAGAATCTGCTTTGTGGAGGGAAGGATTTACCTTTGAAATGCTGTACTTTGAAAAGGGCTGGTGGTGGATGGAGTGAGCCTGTCTTTTCCCTGCTAGAGCAAAGCTCTGGATTTTTTTTAAAAAATCAGGATTAGTAGGGTGTTTTTCAGGTGTGAAGCAGGGCAGGTGATGGACATGACAAAGCCTGGTGCTCTCTGCCAGTCACTGAACTGCTGTAGCTGGGAGAAGATGTGTGAAGGGACAAGGGTGGTTTTGGTGGACATCGCCCAAATCCACCAAAACCCACTGATGAAATTGCCCAAAGGCTATATTTCTCTTTAATACTGTGCTTCTCTGCAGCAAGACCCCAGCTGCCTTGCAGCACTGCCTGTGCTGGTTCTGTCCAAGCTCTGCAACTCTGCTCACTCACGAGAAAAAAATCCTCCCTCCAAATAACAGTGATGACATTTAAAAAGTAGAGTGAGGCCATGGGAGGCTGGGGGAGCTGGTGAGTGATGGTCCAGTGCTGGAGGAGCAGGAGAGGCAGGAGTGCAGGAGGATCTGGCATGCTGGCGCTAACTCTTGCCTTAGCCCTGGGAAAGTCCTTAACTGATTGAGGAATTATTATTTTTTCCTTCTGGGATGTGCAAGCTCTCTCAGTTAAAATAGGAACCAATGAGGAGATGTCATGCAGGAGAGTAAGTGAATTGGCCACAATGGTTTGGGTTTGTTCCTAGTGGGGGAAAAGGGCAGTTTGGGAAAGGTTGGGGAGCTTTTCCTCCCCAGTGACTCATTGGCCTGTGGTCCAGCCCTGCTGCCAGGGGCTCCGGCCAAACCAAGAGCTTCAACTTAGCAAAAACCTCAAGGGAAAATACTTATTTCAGTGAAAACTCCAGCTGAGACCTGAGGGATGTGGAGGGCCAGTGTTGGAGTCAAAAGGGCATGGCAACCCCTTGGCTGACCAGAAACCCAACCTGCAGCCCTTGACATCCCCTGGCAGCCTCTGTCTGGGGGGATCCTGACTCTTCCCATCTCCCCACAGACCTCATAGCTTAGTCCCACTGCTTCCTTGCCTGCTTTTGGTGGCTACCAACAGTTTGTCTCAGGATCTTGCATGGCTCTGGGGACAGTGACACAGAAGGAGCCCACCCAGGTAGATGTGGATCCCATGTAGCTGCTCAGTATGGTGTGGCATCCCCTGCGGGGACCCCATCATCACGCCGAGGGATGTGTAGGGGTGTCCCCACTCTGGCACCAGTCTTGGATGCCCTTCACCAGCAGCATGCAATGTGCTTGTCCAGCCTCTTCCCTGTCCCCCACTTGCTGCTTTGAAGCCCCCCGTCCTCCTCCCCCCGGCTGCCGCGCACCAAGGGCCACTTTATGAGAAAGCGCAGATAAAAAGCGAGCCATATGTTGTCTGTAATCTCCCAAACCCTCGCTTCAATTACTGCCTCCCCCGAGCCTCTGCTGCCCAGCCTAAGTAAACAAGCCCCTCTGAAAGAGGACCCTGCTTTCCAATTAAAAGTGTCCTAACGTTTCTCCTCTCCCTAAATCCTCCTGAGCGTGGAATGTCCTGGCCTCGGTGGTGGGATGTGGGCTCGGCGGGTCGGACCGAGGGCACACTGCACAATATCCATCACCCTGGCCCCTTCCCAGGTGACGTCAGGGGCAGCCCCAGACACTCATTAATTTCTCCCCCCTCCTTGGTGGGGAAAAGCTTGAAAGGAGAGTTAATTAAAAGTAATACCCCGCCAAATCCGGCTTCACTTTTCCTTCTTTCCCTTTGACACTGGGAGGGATTTGGGGAGCAGGTGTTGGGGAGGGAGGGATCGGGGGGGCTGCTCTGAGCGGGTTTTCCCCCTTGGAGTGGATTTTGAGCATCATGGACTTGATGGAGTCCATGAGCCTGTGGCTCCGCTGTGCCAGGCTCTGCCCCCCCTGAACTGGAGGGGAGTGGGGTGCTCACCTTGTACTAGGGTGTAAATGGGTTCATACACCAGTTGACATTCCCCTTATTTGTAAAAATCTCTACCTTTCCATCAAAATTAAACTCCTTCGGGTTTCAGGAAAAGAGCAGCTCAGCAGAGCAGAGACCCTTCTTGTGCTGGCACTGAGAAGGAGGCAGCAGTAGCTGCTGCTCAGCCCCATTAACTGTCAAAGACTCCACACCATGGGCCTCACCAGCACTGGAACTCTCAGACCGGTGCAGTGCTATGTCCCTCACACTGGGACGTGCAGGAAAACAGCAGTTTGTTTTCCCTGTGTCTGTGGCTGCCATGGGCATGCTGTGGATGTGCCATGAGTGAGCAGGGAGCTAAAGCAGCAACAAGGCTCTGGTTCCTGGGGGCCATCACCCAGCTCCCAACTGTTCTCACACACAGTCACAAGAAGATCTCCACTAACACCAGCTTGTTTTAAATATCATTTTGGACATACTGGAAATGGTGTCTGTGGCCCGTTGTCTGTAAAGGACCTGCTTTTTTCCCTCTGCTTAGGCAAAAGTGATGATGATGACAGTATCTGCAAACTGGGCCAAGCCTCAGGGAAGGGCACTGAGGATGGAAAGGATCACAAACGGCCCAAGCGGCCCCGGACAATCCTAACCACGCAGCAGCGGAGAGCGTTCAAGGCATCGTTTGAGGTCTCCTCCAAGCCCTGCAGGAAGGTATGGGGAGAAAGATCCATGCTCAGCTGCCTCCAGCCCTTGGGGATGTCCTGGATGCTGGGCTAGGACTTGCTCCAGCTGTTCTGTCCCCTCCTAAAGTCTCCTGAAAAGCTGAGTGGCTGAGACACCACTACTCTTCTCTCCCAGGTGCGGGAGACACTGGCAGCAGAGACAGGGCTGAGTGTCCGTGTGGTGCAGGTCTGGTTCCAGAACCAGCGAGCGAAGGTGGGTACAAGGGGTAACCCCCCACCAGCAGCTGTTGCTGGGGCTCTCTCCCTCCCAGCTTTGGCCAGGGGATGATTTCCCCCCATTTGTTCCCATTGTTCTCACCCAGATGAAGAAGCTCGCCAGGAGGCAGCAGCAGCAGCAGCAGGATCAGCAAAACACGCAGCGCCTCAGCTCAGGTACCCCCCTCAAACCCAGCTCTCCCTGCACTTGGGGTCTCCCTATATCCCAGCCCTCTTCTGGCTTCCCAGAGGAGCTGGACCACCTGAAATGCAGCAGTCTGACTGTACTGATGACTTGCTCTTCTCTTCCAGCCCAGACAAACGGCGGTGGCAGCACAGGACTAGAGGGGATGCTGAACCCCTACACCACTCTGCCTCCACCCCAGCAGCTGCTGGGCATGGAGCAAAGCGTCTACGGCTCCGACCCTTTCCGGCAAGGGCTCACCCCACCACAGATGCCTGGAGACCACATGCACCCCTACGGTAGGGCTCTAGAGTTTGCCTCTTGCCTTCTCTCCTTTGAAGAGATGCTGGGCTGTGGTGGGGGCATGCGTAGGGGATTGCAGTGATTTCTGGTGGTCCCCTCACCCCTAAATACCTTACCCTACAAAAGCTGGGGGGACTGGGCACTGTGAAGGTGCTGGAGGAGAAAGCAGGCTCTGAAGTCCTTCTGCTCCTTCCCTGCTTTGCAAGGTGCCGAGCCTCTCTTCCATGACTTGGATAGCGATGATACCTCACTGAGCAACCTGGGTGACTGCTTCCTCGCCACGGCGGACGCGGGGCCACTCCAGGCACGTGTGGGAAACCCCATCGACCACCTCTACTCCATGCAGAACTCCTACTTCACCTCCTGAGCGTGGTGTGGTCCCTGGCACGGGCAGCCATCAGGAGGGGCTGCAGAGCCCCCAGGGTTGGGAGGGAGGGGGAAGCGACACTGCTGGGATGCTGTCAAATATGTTGTAGCTTGGGATTCCCAAGGAGTGAGTTAAGTTATAGGTTGCATAGTTTCATGTTTCTCTTAGGAGCCTAGGATTAGGGACAGGAGTGGTTTTTGCAGCTGGCTGGTGGATTTTCAAATTTCAAATGGGGAAACGAATTTCTCGTTTCGGCAGGGGGAGGGGGATTCTCCTGTAGGAGCATCCCAGTGCTGCATCCCATCCGCACCACCTTTGGAAAGAGCAAACTGCTGATCTTCATGGAGAGAGCCTGCAGCATCAGCCAGGCTTTGAAATTTGAAAAGCTGACAATGCTTTGGGGAAACATGAGGGGAAATGTCACTGCAGGGGTTTTTTTTTCCCCTCTGTTCCCTCAACCAGTTTGAGCTCTTGCTGCTTAAACATAGGGATTTTTTAAGATAGATGTTCCCATGCGAATATAGAAAGCTAGAAACCCCTAACATCATCCCCATCCCCGAGGAGGGGCTGTGTGTGTGTATGTGTGTGTGTGTGGGCACGCAAGTGTGTGCGTGCAGAGCCGTGTGGCTGTGGGTGATGTACCACATGGCCACAGCTGCCAGATTGTATCAACAAAGTTTATTTCTAAGTCTATCAGAAATTTACTGTACAGCAAAAGTAACTTTATTTTCAGCGTGAACCATATTTAAGGAAATACTCAATGCACTTAAGTTATAAGATGAAATAATTTACTTTTTATAAACGTTATGTTTAGGTTGCAAAAGCCCAGTGGCAGGGAAGGAACATCAGTTCATTTCAGGAGATAGGTTTGGGTTTCGGGGTTGGTTATTTTTGGTGCTCTCAGGTTGCCCCACTGGTTTTGAGGTGCAGTTGAAACACAAAGCAGAGCTGGCTCCAGAGACCTGCTCCTCCGCCAGGTCCTGTCCCCACCGCTGGACGTGTCCAGGAGGTCAGTGCAGGGTGGACAACGCTGCTGGAGCTGGTGGACATCCCAGCCCGTCGGGGCTCAGCCATGCTTCTCTACATCACCTTCTCCTTCCCACAGCAGGGCCCAGCCTGCCTCCACCAGCGACCCCATCCCATATCCTCAAATATGGGCACTAGACCGGTGTGAACTGCTGTCCTGGTGCTGGAAAACACTGCAGCCCATGCCACCATCCCTCGGGCGAAGGAGAAATGAGGGAGAGCCCTGCCTTTCCCAACCTGTGCTCAGGTTCATCCCTGCCGGAGCTGTGGGAACCTGGGGAAAGTTCCCCTTAGGGTCGAGCCTTCACCCGACCCTCACCTCATCCCCACTCTCGTTTTCATGCGTTGTGTCCTTTTGTGCTGCTGTTCACAAATGATGTAAGTGACAACCCGTAAAGACATGCAGGTGACTGTGAGGCTCAAAACGCTGGCTCATCGCCACCGTACGATCTGACACTGAATGTAGCAGGGTCTGGAGATGGCTCACCTGGCGGGAGATGCTGACACACTGTCAGAAATCATGTACCAAGAGGAAATTAAAAAGACAAAAAAATCTCTGTTAAAAAAAGCCAAACAGCCTGGTCTTTTCTTGTGTGGTGTGTCCCCTTTGCTTGCTTGGGGTGGACAGGTTGGGGAAATGATGGTTTGAGGTTTCTCTAGCACTGGGCTTGGTGGTCTTGGTGAAATGCTGGCTGGTGCTAGTGGAGCAGAGGGGATCTGGGCTGGGGTGAAGCTCAGAGTCACTGGGGGCTGAAGGTGGAGATGTGCTTCACTCATGGAAAGGGGGCAGATCTAGGGGAGGTGGTGTGGAGGAGCTGCTGTGATACCCATGAGGCCAACATGAGTCTGATTTGTAGGATCTGTCTGTAGGTAGTGGCTGGGTTAACACCACCGAGGCTTGCAATATAAAAATAGACATTTTCCTTAATGGTTATTAAAATTGCCTTAAAATTTCCCCTTCTTAAAACATCATGTTTAAATTTGTGGGGGTTTTTTTTGAAACATGTTTTAAAGATAAAAGGTTTGTCTTCCCCACCCACAGCTGTCTCCTATTTGAAAAATACTCAGCTGCATGCCTGGCTTTCCATCAGCCTAACTACCAATTTACACTTACCAAATTGCTTCCCCCAAATTAAAACCCCCATAAAACCCATGTCACACAGACTGGTTGCCTCCTTTTAAACTCTTGCAGAAATGTAATGACATGCTATCATAACAGTTTCTCAAGGTAAGTGTGTCTATATGTATAAAATTATTATATAGACTATGTAATTTTGGGGAAGGATCAGTATTGTGGGTATGGGCAGGTCTTTGACTAGTAAAATCAGCGGAATTCATGGTTTTACACCTGAGTTTTCCTTCTGCAAGTTGGCCTTTGTGCTTGACACAACGTGAGCATGAGCTCAGCTTGCAATTGTGCCATGCGGTAGCAGATGTGGGTCCTCCTGTCATCTGTATTTCATATTCTCCTGTGTCTTATTTTAGAGTGTAGATGGATCCTGCCAAAGCAAAACTGGCCAGGCCTTATCTTCTGCAGGTGATGGAGTCACTGGATAGCAGATGACTTTTGTAAGGCTGGGTGGGTTGTCAGATGTCCCTTGGTTTGCCCCCTGGGATGTCTTTTCATGGTGCTGTTTTGCCATACTGTGCTCCCTGCCTGAGCCCACTCTCAGCCTGGGCAGTGACTCCCTAGGACAAATGATACCTTCTTGTCAAAGCCAGGAAGAAAAGGACAAGGTCTGACATGAAAACAGGTTCTACCTTGCTCTCCAAGGCAAGGGCAATGCCAGGAACGGGTTGGGAGCTGACCTTTGTGTCTCTAGTGACTCAAAACAAAGGTGCCTCTGTTCAGGTACTGCTTGGTGGCCAAGGAAAGATCAAGTCAGAGATTACTTGTCAGTTGAGGACACTGATTAGATGATACTGATAGGCAGCCAGCTCTGAGTGATACTATGTTAATTAACTTGCTCTTTGTGAATGGATGGTACAGGAGCTTGGGGCAGATGCAAGCTGGAGTGAAAATCAAAATGGTTTTGGCCAAGGCTGGCTGGGTTTGCATACAGTTATTTGAATCTTGGTGGTATTTTTAGGCATTTGTTGAAGACTTGTAGTGCACAGATATAGGAGCTGGAGCAAGCAACCTTGCTGGAAGGACATGACCTTGCTGTCTAGGAAAACCACCTCTGGATGGAGGGTTGGATTCTTGCCTTCTCTGAATGGCCTGCATGTAGCTGAGATCTGTGGAGCTGTGCTGTCACCTGCCAGCTGCAACGTGGGCATGAGGAACCCCCAGACCAAGCAAAGAGCTTGGTGCAGTGAGGAGACCCATATGGGAACCCCAGTACATGGCCACCTCCGCAGCCCCTTGCTGCACAGGGTGTTTGGGGGCTGCTTTCTGGTGTGATGTGGGCATGCCTTCCTGTGTGAGATGAACCTCCAGGACTGGTTCTCATGTGCCCACATCAGTGAGTCATCTTTCTGCACATAGGTGGAAAGGGCATGAATCCCAAGGAAGCCATGGACAGGGTCTTGCGATAGAACTGGACATGGGAAGTGGCAAATACTGTGCTTTTTGGTAGGAAAATGCCATAGCTTTGATTGCTCCTGTCACCTTTTCAGAGTGAAATAATTTTCCACATGTTTGATACCTACTGATGGTAGCAGGTATCAGTATAATGCTGTTCTGGGCACTAAATGTCACCTATCATTAGAAAACACTTGTCTTGTGACTCGTGATAAGGCTCAAACCACTGAAGATGAGTGTCTTGGCTTTATGGTAGGTCTGTGAGCAAGATCCCAGGTAACACCAGCTGTCTGGATCTGTGACTGATCTTTTCTTCCACTGCTCATCATCTGCATGGAAAGTTCATTAAAAAACAACCCCAAGCCCAACAAAAGCCTCTTTATAAAATGATGAAGACTTCAATGGAAAGGCAAGAAAAGGGTTAGAAGCTCTTCAGGTATAAAATAGCTTCTTATCTTGTTAGAGATCAGACCAAATTCTTGTCTCCATTCCTCTAAGTGGCAACGTGTTGGTCATGAAAAGGTTATCTTGTCAGCTGTAGACCTCCTAGACACTGATGTGGAGGCTGACATGTGCTTGCCTGATTGACACATATAAGTTCACAGGCTGAGGACGAGCGTATCCAACTGCAAACCATGTCAAAACACTCCAAGTGATCAAATACCGACAGCACTTTCGGTGAAGAACAGCAGATTCCCACTGCCTCGGGCCCTCTGAGCTGCTGCTTCAGAGGGGAGATCAGATTTCTCCTCTGATGACCCTGAGAACAGGGGGCTCATTCAGAGGGATGCTTGATGAGTTGAATCATGGTCTCAGGGCAGAGTAAATCCATGGCAGGAGGCAGAGATGGGGAGCTGGTGGTGAACCCCAGCAGGCATTTCCCCAGGGTCCTATCAATTTGGTGGCTTCAAGTGGGGTGAAGAGCTGATGACCTGTTGCTGACCAATCTGATTCAGGACTCTTAGAGAGCCCAGACAGGATTAGTGCTCTGGAGGGCTGAGATTTGGCATCTCAGCTCAGATCTGTGCTCTGAAACTGGCTGGCCCCCAGCAGCGCTGGCTCTCCTCTTGCCTCTGTTCCTTGTGGTACAGATGCAATAATATCTGCTTTGGAGAGGAGGGGCTGTGAAGGGAGGTATCCATGAAGCCTTAGGCCTTTCTGCTCATTCCCAAGAGCATCTGCAAGGAAACAAGTCTGTGCTCAACACAAGCTCAAAATAACATGCAAGCACAGAAAGCCCTGAGGCTGTGCATGAGAGAGCGAGGAGGAGATGGGAAACAGTGAGCAACTACCCATTTGCTCAACGAGGCAGGAACTGTATGGAAAATACAGCATGAGATCATGGAACCAGAGATGCAGTGTAACACCTGTGCCTTGGGTGGCTGGTTATGTTGTCCTGACAACCTCATACTGGTGTCCCAAGCTTGGAGGGTTTGGCTCTGCAGCCAAA